GTTGGTTCAAATCCTAACCATAGCACCACCTGCCTGGACTTTGCATGTTCTCCCTGTGCCTGCGTGGGTTTCCTCCACTTTCCTCCCACATTCCAAAGACATGCTGGTAGGTTAATTGGCTCCTGTCTAAATTGTCCCTAGTATGTGTATGTATGAATGTGAGTTAGGGACCTTAAATTGTACACCCCTTGAGGGTTAGGGACTGATGTGAATTTACAATATATATGTAAAGTGCTGTGTAAATTGACGGCACTATATAAGTACCTGCAATAAAAATAAATAAAAGTTATTTATTTCAGGTACTTATATAGCACCGTCAATTTACCCAGCACTTTACATATATATTGTACATTCACATCAGTCCCTAACCCTCAAGGGGCGTACAATCCAAGGTCCCTAACTCACATTCATACATACACATACTAGGGACAATTTAGACAGGAGCCAATTAACCTACCAGCATGTCTTTGGAGGTGGGAGGAAACCAGAATACCCAGAGGAAACCCACGCAGGCACAGGGAGAACATGCAAACTCCAGGCAGGTGGTGCCGTGGTTGGGATTCAAACCAATGACCCTAGTACTGCCAGGCAGAAGTGCTAACCATTTAGTTATGAAACAATTAACGATCTTTATTTACCAGGAATCTTACATTTAAATCCCTGTTTGATCCTGATAGACAAAGATGGAGACAGGATAAAGAACTTACTGAATGCATCAAGCACTTCACTATGGATGACTTTCGTGCGTGATGTTTTTGTTGGAGCAGAATGAAAACTCTAGTGAAGTTATTGGCATTAATACTACTGTGAGCTGTGAAACTCAGTAGAATCTAACTAAAAAATTCAAATGTAAATCTCAGAACTTCCCACATTTAATAATTAACCCCTTCGTGCCGACGTCACACAAATATGCGGCCTCACAGAACTGGGCTTTTTTCTATGGGGCAGCATATTTGCGTAGCTGTCTTTCTGCTGGGAGCATGCTCCCAGCACAAAGACCGCGGTGTCACTAAAAGCCCCAGGTCCCGTTCTAACGATTGGGACCTGAGACTCCCAATTCTGGGTCACATGATTGCTGTGATAGTCTCTGATTGGCTATCACAGTGATCAGTCACTGTATAGCCTGCCCCCCTTGTTTTATTTCCTTTCTCCATGAATGGAGGAGAGAGATACATTGTAACTCTCTAACTCATGGCATAGAGGAAAAAAAATGTTTGCTAAAATAAAAAAAAAGAGATAAATAAATACTTAAAAATAAAGAAAAAATACCTAGATCAAGGTTTGATCTAGTTCACTGCCAGGGTAAGTGTTTGGGTCAAGGTCAGAGTCAAAGGTCAAAGTCAAAAGGTCAGGGTCAAAGGTCAGGATTTTTTTTTTTATTGGTATTTGTGTCAGTTAGTGTCAGTGTGTTTTAGGTAAACAAACCCGCAAAAAAACAAAATACACACTATTGTTTCTGGGGTGTACTACGGGTAAAAACACCAAATAACATATACATACACATGTATATGGTATTGCTGCAATCGTCAAGAGCTGGAAAATTTATTTTGGGTTGTTCATTGGTGGTAGGTTATGGTAGTAACAAGGAACACACAGCTAAATTTAAAAAAAAAAAATTTTTTATTATTTTGAGCCAGTTTTCCTTTGATAATAAAAAAATATCAGGAGATATCCATTACCATTTACCAAGCCCAATTTGTCCTGCAAAAAACAAGGTATAATCCACCTGGATGTACAAAGTAGTTGTGGTGATATGTACGGTTTTACTAACACAGGTCAATGTTGCAAAATTGTGCTTAGGCATTTAGATTTGTTTTACCCTAACGCATGAAGGGGTTAATAACAATATTTGGGCCTTTTTAACAACCACTATAAGTGACATTAAACGCATGAGTTTAGCACCTACTATGAAGAACCTCAATAATAGACAACAGGAAGCCATTGTTAGACTTCAGAACCATCCTGATCTAATTATTAAACCCTCCGACAAAGGAGGTGACATTATGTTGATGACAAAATTGCAATATGAAAAAATGTGCAATGATATATTACGCAATACAGATTGGTACCGTCCCATCTCAGGCAGGTTTGTGGGCAATTCAATCTGGGCTATAAAAATCTAATCAATGCAGCCTATTTGGGGTCGACCCATTGTTTCGGGGATAGACTCTGACTGAAAATCCCAGTAGATTCATTGATTTTTTCCTCATGCCCCATGTTGTGTGGTTACCATCCTATATTAAGGAAACTCTTGGTTTTTTTAAACACATTGAGGGAATGTCTGTACCCTCAGACTCCCTGCTGGTGACTCTTAATGTGGAGGCTTTGTACTCCAGCATCCCTCCCCACAAGCAGGGCATAAGAACTTCTACTGACGTTCTTGTTTGAGCAAGAACGTTCCAAATGGGAATTCAATGAGTTCCTATTGAGACTTTTGTTCTTTATTTTGACACACAATTGGTTTCTCTTTAAAGGGTCCCACTACTTCCAGGGGCAGGGGGTAGCCATAGGCACTTGCTGGGACCTGGCCTACGCCAATCTGTACTTGGGGGGGGATGGGAAAAGGATCTCTTTTCCAACAAAGCTATGGGCAATTATCTTGATCGTGCAGTATGTTGGTATAGATATATTGACGATATCTTCATTATTTCGACAGGCTCTGTTGAATCATTGAAAATGTTTGTGGACAAGTTAAATGCTAATCACTTCAATCTCAAATTTACACTCAACTATCATGAGTCCACTATTACTTTTTTGGATTTACAGATCTACAAAGATCAGAATAATTGCTTAGCCACTACTCTTTATCGTAAAACAGCTAGTAATACAATCTTGCATGCTGCCAGTGCCCACCCTCCTGCCCTAGTACGGAGTATTCCATATGCACAATACAGGGGCGGACTGACCATTTGGAAACTCGGGCACTGGCCGAGGGCCCAGGGTCAGTAGGGGGCCCCATGAGATTCCCCTGGTACCTTTTTCATAGGCTTTTTTGAGTTTGGGCAAGGACACAGTGGCCCCATGATCGCCTATTGCCCGGGGGCCCCATGAGTTGTCAGTCCGCCCCTGGTATAGATCTATACATACAATACTGACTCATTCAGGCTGACCCAGGTGTTCCCATACCAGGACAAAAACCAGTGGCCTTACTATGTGCTATTAGCGGGGAGGTCAGTTATATCCCTTAATTTATAGTGGTATCAACTAGTTACTAAGAGTCACTATAGAGCCTTACTATAGGGCCTCACTATACTATTATTAATCATATATATGGGCAGCACAGTGGCTAAATGGTATGCACTTCCGCCTGGCAGTACTCGGGTCATTGGTTCAAATCCCAACCACGGCAACTCCTGCCTGGAGTTTGCATGTTCTCCCTGTGCCTACGTGGGTTTCCTCCAGGTGCTACAGTTTCCTCCCACACTCCAAAAACATGCTGGTAGGTTAATTGGATACTGTCTAAAATTGGCCCTTGTATATGAATGTGAGTTAGGGACTTTAGATAGTATGCCCCTTGAGGGTTAAGGACTGATGTGAACGTATAATATATATGTAAAGCGCTGCGTAAATTGACGGCGCTATATAAGTACATGAAATAAATAAATCATATACTTTTTACGTACCAGGTTCTGTCATACGACGGGTGACTTTTCCCTCCGTTATTGCTGGCACCCCCTCATCGATTGGCCCCTCATGGTGTCATTAGACGCTTCCTTCCATCACCTCTATACACATGTATGTGCCTTGAGGTATTAAATTTGCTTACCATTTGTTTTGATGTGTACATTCAGCATTGTATGTAAGTTGTTGCTTGTTATTTTATTCACACAATTCTGTATATCTCTTCACATAGAAGTCTTCTTGCAGCTCCTGAAGAAGCGATATCATCGCGAAACATGTTGAGCCATTACTATTATTATCATCTAAAGAGTACCTCTTCTTAGTTATTACCGAGTTGTGGCATATCTTTACTAATGTGGGATTTACTAGCAATACATGAATCTGCATTGATCATATTTTTGTATGTTACAGGGGCAGAATATATTCTGTAACAAAAATTTTTTTCTATATGTGTTTGTACTATTGTGTGCATGTTCTTAAAATGTTACATTTTATAAACCATTGTTTGTAGTGCCTATAAAGTCCATAAGGTTCTTTACTGTCAATCACAAATCCAGGCATGAAAGACCTCTGGATAATAAGTTGTAGGTACAGAAAACAATGGGTCAGTCTCCTGTGATGTTATCTGCTGCTACAAATAAGAATCGAAATTCGGACACGTTTTGTTATTTGGAAATTCGGATGTATCCAAATTTCCGAATTACAATAGTGGCGAATCCGTAATAACCAAACTAAATTCAGACAAAATTCTAATCTAATTCGACTCATATTCGAATACTAAAAGAATAGAACATAAAAGAATAGAATAGATTAGAATAGAATAAAACATAAAAGAATAGAATAGAATAAAAAAATAGCATATAAAATAAAAGAATAGAATAGAATAGAAAATGAAACAAGAATAGTTAAGAATAGAATAGAAAAAACAATAGAATAGAATAAAATAGAAAGAATAAAACTGTCTTCCGAAATTCTGATTTCAAATAAAATAAACTAGAATAGAATATAATGGAATAGAATAGAAAAAACAATAGAATAGAATAAAATAGAAAGAATATAACTGTCTTCTGAAATTCAAATTTTGAATAGAATAAATTTGAATTTGAATGTCAATTCAAATTCGAATGCTGATTCGAATTTTCTATATTCGTTTGAATTGAATTTGAATCTAAACGAATTCGAAAACGAAGTGTATTCCAAAAACGAATGAAATGATCTAAACAAATTTACCGAAACAAAACTATTTAAATAATGAATCAAAACTAAGCAAATGTTTTCGTTCTGCACATGTCTACTACAAATTGTATCCTCTGTTACAATCCAATAATGTAAAAACTGATTGTAAATCGAGTATGATTTCATAGGAGGTTTGAACTCACCACGAAGCGCCCGGTTTTATTGGAGCACCCAAAAAGTTTTGGCGGGTTATTTTCAAACTGCGTTTCCAGGAGAGGAGAAGTCTGATAGTTCTTTTTACCCCCCAGACCTTTCCAGAACACATCTGTAGGGATCAAGAACAAACCATTCAGTTGGTTTATATAACACAGGCAGAGGGGTACAGTGGGGAAAATAATTATTTGATCCCCTGTAGATTTTGGAAGTTTGTCCACTTACAAAGAATTGAAGGGTCTATAATTTTTATCATAGGTGTATTTTAAATGATAGAGACAGAATATCAACCAAAAAAAATCCAGAGAAAACACAATACAAATGTTATAAATTGAGTTGCAATTCAGTGAGTAAAATAAGTATTTGATCGCCTACCATCCAACAATAATTCTGGCTCCCATAGACTGGCTATGTGCTCATGTGGTACACAGATTAGTCCTAACGACAACTCGTTATGTGTATAAAAGACACCTATCCACAGAATCTCTTTCTTGGGCACCACCATGGGCAAGACCAAAGAGCTGTCCAAGGACGTTAGGGACAAGATTGTAGACCTGCGCAAGGATGGAATGGGCTACAAGACCATCAGCAAGAAGCTTGGTGAGAAGGAGACAACTGTTGGAGCGATTATTTGCAAATGGAAGAAATACTAAATAACAATCATTCACCCTCAATCTGGAGCTACATGCAAGATTTCACCTCATGGGGTAAGGATGATCATGAGAAAAGTGAGAGATCAGCCCAGAACTACACGGGAGGAGCTTGTGAATGATCTCAAGTCAATTGGGACCACAGTCACTAAACAAGCCATTGGTAACACAATACGCTGCCATGGATTGAAATACTGCAGCGCCCTCAAGGTCCCCCTCCTCAAGAAGGAACAAGTACAGGCCATTCTGAAATTTGCCAATGAACATCTAGGATTGGGAGATCATGCTATGGTCAGATGAGACCAAAATTGAGCTCTTTGGCATTAACTCGACTTGCCATGTTTGGAGGAAAAATGCTGACTATGACCCTAAGAACACCATTACTACAGTCAAGCATGGAGGTGGAAACACTATGCTTTGGGGCCGTTTTTCTACTAAAGGTACAGGCCTAGTTTGCCGCACTGAGGGGCTAATGGACCAGGTCATGTATTTTAAAATCTTGGATGAGAACCTTCTTCTCTCAGCCAGAACATTGCAGATGAGTCGCGGATGGGTCTTCCAGCATGACAATGACCAAAACATACCACTGAGGCAACAAAGGAGTGGCTCAAGAAGAAGCACATTAAGGTCAGGGAGTGGCCTAGCCAGTCTCCAGACCTTAATTATATAGAAAATTTATGGAGGGAGCTGAAACTTCGAGTTGCCAAGCGACAGCCAAGAAACCTTAAGGATTTAGAGAAGATCTGTAAAAAAGAGTGGACAAAAATCCCTCCTGAGATGTGTGCAAACCTGGTAACCAACTACAAGAAAGTAGCTCTGTGCTTGCCAACAAGTGTTTCTCCACCAAGTACTAAGTCATGTTTTGCTTGAAGATCAAATACTTATTTTACTCACTGAACTGCAACTCAATTTATAACATTTGTATCATGAGTTTTTCTGGATTTTTGGTTGATATTCTGTCTCTATCATTTAAAATACACCTTTGTAAGTGGGCAAACTTCCAAAATCTGCAGGGGATCAAATAATTATTTTCTCTACTGTATGTTCAAAAATACTTGGCTATAGACAGAGACATTAAAGTGGTAGTAAACTCTTTCATATACCCAGTAAAGTGACTGGCCTCAAGTGATACACAGAGAGGAAACAAATCCTCCTACATAAGTTGTACCTGTTTTTCTGAAGCACTCTTTCCTCTACAGCCATTGAAAGTACTGAATTTTAAAGCTGTTTTGAGAGTTCAGAAAAAAAGGGGCGGAGAGCTGAAGTTACACTCTGCATAGCTCAGTGAAGAGAGCTCTGATAGCTGATTGGGAAGAGACACCCCCCCCTCCACACAGCTCACAGAAACAGAGCTGAGCCTATCAATCTGGCAGAGGTCCCTCCCCTGTCACAATTTTTCTCTTGGTGTCAGGACAACTTGTCAGAAGTGATTCATGCCGATAGCAAAGGAATGAGGCAGCAGACAGAAATGACACTTAGTGCTCCTAATTGAGACAAATACACACTATAGAGAGATATGCTTTGTTCATATTTCATGACTGAGGTTTACAACCACTTTAACTGCTTTCCCGCTGCCCTATAGCAGATGCTACAGGGCAGCAGGGGTGCACAAAATCACGTATATATACGTGATTTTTCATTTATGGGTAAGGGGCACCCTAGCCACGCCGCTGTTAGCGGCCACGGCTGTCAAGCACCAGGTCCCAGGCAGTGATTACTCGCTGGCACTCGGTGATCACCGAGCATTACCGATGGAGGGAGAGAACTGTATATAAAACAATACAGTTCTCTCCCGTCAGCTCCTGCACACTGCTTTGTATGGCTCTGCATAGCACAGCCATACAAAGCAATGTGCTTACAGTTGAAAGCACAGACACAGCCCCCATAGTAAAACAGCACACAGTTAACCTTTTGATCACCCCACATGTTAACCCCTTCCTGCCCAGTGTCATTAGTACAGTGTCAGTGCTTTTTATTCGCACTGATCACTGTATTGGTGTCACTGGGGATGTCAGTGACACCAAGTCAGTTCCCTACAGTGTCAGAATGCCCGCCGCAGTCCCACTATAAGTTACTGATTGCCGTCATTACTAGTAAAAAAAAAAAAAAATACCGCCATTTTTAAACACATAACTTTCACGTAAACCAATTAATTTACACATATTGGGATTTTTTTTTTTAGCAAAGACATGGAGCAGAAAACATTTTGGCCTAAATTTATGATGAAATTTCATTTTTTAAATTTTTTTTACTGGACATATTTTCTAGCAAAAAGTCATAAAATATTGTTTTTTTTCTCAAAATTGTCAGTCATTTTTTTTTTTTATAGTGCAAAAAATAAAAAGAGCAGAGGCGGTCAAATACCACCAAAACAAAGCTCTATTTGTGAGAAAAAAAAAGATGTCAATTTCATTTGGGTTGCATTGCACGACCGCGCAATTGTCAGTTAAAGTAACACTGCGCCGTAACGCAAAAAATGGCCGGTCAGGAAGGGGGGTAAATCCTCAGGAGGGCGAGTGGTTAAGGTTCCTGAGGCTCTGTTACCATCCAGTAACTGTATATCTGGCCGCACTCGCCGATTCTGGACACTTTCCATCAGCTTTTAAAATATATGAAACCCTAGCAATCATCTCTTATTTGAACCCCTTTAATAAACATAGGTTCACTTTAAATTGTCAAAATGCAGCTTTTAAATTGCACTGACCCGGCTCTTTGCCTTCGGACACATTTGTGACATTACACTTCAGAACTTTCACCAGATATTCCGCTCCTTTTATCTCTTCCTCATTTGCACCCTTTCCGATCCACATGATAGCAGAGTTACTTTGTATTTTCAGGACGAAAGCATCATTGGCATTTAAAGAGCTGGCATCGGCATCGACCTGCAACACAGAAAGCCAATCAAGTGAACCTGTTATGTATGTATAAATGGTGACAGACGTGGCTTAATCCATCATAAAGGAAGCTGCGTTTTTTTTCCACAAAATATTGCCGCAGTGTAAGCGCATAACAAGAAGTGAAAACAATTCGTTATACTATAAGTTCAACAGGTACAAAAGAAGGTACCAGGCTTGTAGGCAGGGGCAGTCCATTTTCTCCACTGCAGGTGGCACCAAGTCACATTCCAACCTCCAAGACAGACACTGTCGGCACACCGGAGACCTGCTCCATTCCACGTTTCAGCTTGTTAATGTTCCCAGTCAGGTGCCTTCCCGCCGGGCTGTTTGTAAAGTTTGAATTTTGACTTTGTAGCACTACCCCCTAGAGATTTGGGTCCCCCATAGTCCTGCACAGCCAAGCAACACACATTGTTTCCCACACACTTGCATTCAGAGTCAATAAACAGTCCTTGAGCTTGATTTTTATGCTTTATTAAGGGGTGATGAACTTGGATGGGGTAAGGGGTATACGGGACGCCCGATAGAATTGCAACTGTGGACAAACTCCTTAGCAACTATGTACAAGTCTTTACACAATAGAACTTCTTCTTAGAGGGCTCTCCAGCCTCTCCTGGTGTACCATCCCAGACCCAGATAATTCCTTTCTTATCCAGCTGCCTGAGGGAATCCCTGGGAAAGGGACTCCAGTGCCTGCCACTCTAAATGAAACAGTACCAGGTGGGAAGCTAATCAGGTTTCCCACCATTGTTTGGCCCAGGGGTTGTAAAACTATTCACTCAGTCTCAGTCCTGTGAGCAGATTTATGTAGGTGGCTGCCTTCAGGTCTTCTGCTGGACTGGCTCCTTTCTTGGCTCTACAGGTGGTCCTTGCTCTGGGGGCCAGTGAGGCTGAGCGATCCTCCTTTCCAGATCCCTGCCTGTAGGTGGGCCTCTTTTCACTGGGCCCCCTCCCAGGCTCCTCCACCTCAGCTTCCTCACATCTTCCACCCAAACTCTCTTGCTGCTGACAAGGCTCAGCCATTTTTAAGGGCTGTCATGACCCCATACCAAGCATCCTGCTTGGAGATTGGCCAGAATTGCTCAAGAGTGCAGACCATTCCCTCCTCACCCCTGCCCACTGCTTCTAGAATCTTCTCCAAGATTATAGAGCAGGGGGAGGTATCAGGGAACTGATATGTAGAGCCTCTCAGCCATGACCCAAATTTGACCCAGCTGACTATTGCCCAGGCTACTGCTCAGCCTTCTGTCTAAAAAATAATCGGCTAGTTCCTCCTAGCTAACTAGAAGGGTGCTACAACTTTATTACAAGTTCTGTTTCCTGCATGTTTACTACTGCCGCACCACATTGCACCTTCCCACAGGCTGTACGGCAAATCACAAATCGCATAAAAGATAGCCTTTTTTGAATAGATATTTCAAGATGATGCCCCTTTCCATACAGGTTTTTGTCAAATCATCATTTCCCAAAGGAGGCATGAGCAACAGAGACATGATAGATATCCAAAGGCTTCACAGGACTAGGTTTTAAAGAAGCTTTATGATGGTGTCCTTCAGGGTATGTGTCAGCTAGAAATTCTAAGATCTCAGATGAGTTGCTGCATATGGTGTGTTTGGAAACATGGATGGGGAAGGCAATAGGAACATGGGGAAACATGTCTGCAGAGGTCTTTAATCACAGCAGTAGTTTTATCAGTCATGGCATTCCTCTACATCAGTCTTTCTCAACCAGATGTAACAGCCTCCTAGATAGGTGCTAGGTTCAGCAAATTTTGTTTTGGGCTCAGCATGTATAAATACTTTAAGGTCTGGAACAGAGGTGTCTTATCTTTGAGGAGGAGATCACAGCCTAGAGGAGACTGTTTGCCCCTGGGCAAACCTGCCATGTGTTTACTGTTCACCAAGATCCCAGCTAGGCTAGCTGGGGGGCCTATTCTGGAGCTGACTGAGGGACTTTTCATCTGAGGATGTACTCTGGTATCACTGGAAAAGTGTCTGGATCTGGAATATATTGGAAGGAGGCAATCAATTATCTAATGACATTAGTGAGTACAGACTGTTGTGAGAGATCCCTGATATTGTGTTCTTTAGCCATCCCTCTTATGAGTCATTATGTTCAAAGGAGACTTTGTGTCTGGTGTCCTGAAAAGCTCAGTCCATTAATTTCTTGGTCAAGGACTCTGCTCACATCTTTAGGAGGAAGGAGAGCATCCTCAAGTGGTTACTACAAAGCTCAGTCCACTATTTGCTTTGCAAGGATGTTGCTCAGATCTCTAAAAGGAAGTTCAGTGTCCTCAAGTTGCTAGTTACTGGAGTGTCCCACAGTTACCCTGAACCTATCCAATCTATTTCGTCCAAAGGAGTGATTGTGTGCCTGGGTGCAGGACAACTAAAAGACCTTAGGGCAGTGGTTCTCAACCTTTCTAATGCCGCGACCCCTTAATACAGTTCCTCATGTTGTGGTGACCCCCAACCATAAAATTATTTTCGTTGCTACTTCATAACTGTAATTTTGCAGTGGGAGGAATAGTGCCACGTCATTGGTGTCAGTGGGAGGAATAGTGTTCCATCACTGATGTCAATGGGAGGAATAGTGCACCATCATTGGTGTCAGTGGGAGGAATAGTGCCCCATCATTGGTGTCAGTGGGAGGAATAGTGCCCCATCATTGGTGTCAGTGGGTGGAATAGTGCCCCATCATTGGTGTCAGTGGGAGGAATAGTGCCCCATCATTGGTGTCAGTGGGAGGAATAGTGCCCCATCATAGGTGTCAGTGGGAGGAATAGTGCCCCATCATTGGTGTCAGTGGGGGGAATAGTGCCCCATCATAGGTGTCAGTGGGGGGAATAGTGCCCCATCATTGGTGTCAGTGGGGGGAATAGTGCCCCATCATTGGTGTCAGTGGGGGGAATAGTGCCCCATCATTGGTGTCAGTGGGAGGAATAGTGTCCCATCACTGGTGTCAGTGGGAGGAAAAGTGTCCCATCACTGGTATCAGTGGAAGGAATAGTGCCCCAACACTGGTGTCAGTGGGAGGAATAGTGCCCCATCATTGGTATCAGTGGGAGGAATAGTGCCCCATCATTGGTGTCAGTGGGAGGAATAGTGCCCCATCATTGGTGTCAGTGGGAGGAATAGTGCCCCATCGTAGGTGTCAGTGGGAGGAATAGTGCCCCATCGTAGGTGTCAGTGGGAGGAATAGTGCCCCATCGTTGGTGTCAGTGGGAGGAATAGTGCCCCATCGTTGGTGTCAGTGGGAGGAATAGTGCCCCATCGTTGGTGTCAGTGGGAGGAATAGTGCCCCATCATTGGTGTCAGTGGAAGGAATAGTGCCCCATCGTTGGTGTCAGTGGGAGGAATAGTGCCCCATCATTGGTGTCAGTGGGGGGAAATAGTGCCCCATCATTGGTGTCAGTGGGAGGAATAGTGCCCCAACACTGGTGTCAGTGGGAGGAATAGTGCCCCATCGTTGGTATCAGTGGGAGGAATAGTGCCCCATCATTGGTATCAGTGGGAGGAATAGTGCCCCATCATTGGTATCAGTGGGAGGAATAGTGCCCCTTCATTGGTATCAGTGGGAGGAATAGTGCCCCTTCATTGGTATCAGTGGGAGGAATAGTGCCCCTTCATTGGTGTCAGTGGGGGGAGGAATAGTGCCCCATCATTGGTGTCAGTGGGGGAGGAATAGTGCCCCATCATTGGTATTAGTGACACCAATGATGGGGCGCTATTCCTCCCACTGACACCAATGATACTTACCTTGCTGACCCCTGCTCCAGCCTGGGCTCGCTCGCTCCCTCCCTCTCCCATGGTACACACTTACCGGTCGGTCAGATGTCTTCTTTCTCCGGCCGCCCTCCTCCTCTTCACTTGCTTGATGTTCGCGGTGCCGCTCGGCTCCTCCTTTCCAAGCTCCACCTCCTCGCCGGTGATTGGCCGCCTGTGTGCCTCTCCTGAGCTACAGTTCCGGCGGCCAATCACCGACGAGGAAGGATTGATCCCGGGGGTGTGTCCAGATGACAGGGACGACATGTCATCCCGCCCACACCTGGAGACGGATCAAGGAGCGGTGTCTCGGTTCCTAAGGCCATCGGAAATATGTGTTTTCCGATGGTCTTAGGCGACCCCTGGGAAAGTGTCGTTCGACCCCCAAAGGGGTCGCGACCCCCAGGTTGAGAACCGCTGCCTTAGGGACTTTAAAACTGCGGGCTTCTGTGGGAGTGAGAACTACATAGGGTTCTTCCAAACCCTCGGGTTTCTCCTAAGGTTGCTAGGAGTCCCTTGAGCAGTGAGCAATAGGGATTCCATCTCATACCTACACTGATCGCCAATGCAAGTGACACGTTTATATGGAGCAGTTAAAAAGGGAGACACCACAATTTTGACTGTCTGCATTTCTTTTCTGTTACTACTAATTGATTTCACGTCTATTGCCAAATATGTTGTTGTATGGAGCAGGAGGTATCAAATATGCTAGGTATGCCATCTTTTTAGATTCTTATATTTAAAACATTCTACAATTTAGTGATCATAATATTGTAAGGGGGTTCCCTCAGACCCGAAAATAATTCAAGTGTTCCTTCAGGGTAAAAAGGTTGAGAAAGGCTGCTCTACATGTAGATGCTTCAAGCCCACAGTCTACTGGAGGAAGCAGCAACAAAAAACATATCTTAATAGCTTCTGGCGATGCCCACTCTCACGTGTTAGCTGTTTACCTGTCTACTCCTTCCACCCAATATTTCTTTCTAATCATCTTTAAAGGCCTACGCCGACTGACTTTTATTTGCTTCAAGCACGTTTTGCATTCTTATACAAGTCTATGAGAATGCAAAGCCTGGTTCAAGCAAGTCAAATGCAGGTTAGAAGTAGGTTATCCACAGGTCACATGCACCAGTCAATGTATTCTGAATGATCTCAGAAGCATTTCAAACTGATGCCATTAAAAACAAGGCCAAAGCCCATTGAGACATGCCCTGTTGTTATCGCTGCAAGGACTTTTATTACCTCATTGATCCTTGTAATGGATCCCAAATTCTTCCGCACTTGAAACAATCGTACTGCAGGAGGTGGAGCTTGGCTGCCTTTCCTTGAGCTTCCATCTTTGTATACGATGAGGGGTTTGTCTTTGAATATGGCCAACAAATGAGGAGGCTCCTTTCCTTGGACAACCCGAGTCTGGAGATGAGGGATAAAATTGAAATATTGTAATCTGTTTTTTGGAGTTAACATCACAAAATGCACACATCACCAGTCTGTTCAGATCTAGGTCTGGTCTGCATTGGACCAGTTTGCATAGATTAGTAGACAATCTGCTAGACCATGCGTCTCCAAACTTTCTAAACAAAGGGCCAGTTTACTGTCCTTCAGCCTTCGGCAGGGCTGGACTGTGGCTAGTGGGAGTAGAAAATTCCCCTAGTGGAAGTAAACAGTGCCCCATCATTGGTTTTAGCAGGTGGGATAGTGCCCCATTGTTAGTGTCAGTGGGAGGAATAGTGTCCCATTGATGGTACAAGTGGAAGGAATGGTGTCCCATCATTAGTGTCAGTCTGAGGAATTCTGTCCCAAGAGCTGGATAAAGGCAAGCAAAGGGCCACATGTAGTAGTAATTTGGAGACCACTGTGCTAGACCAATGAGCTTATTTTTAACCTTCTAAGTGTTATTTATTTTTTTTTATTTCTTAAATTAAAAAAAGTCTAAAATACAAAGGGCCCCTTTTCTCAGAACACCTGGAAATTGAACTTGTTTTTTTGGCTGGGTCCACGGATTAGCATTGTTACAAACCCCGTGTGTGACACTGTGGGAAATGCAGTCATCGCTGACTGCAGAGTAAATAGTAAATCTTCATGAACTTATGGGGAACAGATACGAATAGGATAGGGTTCTGGGACACAGGGAAGACAGTACGCCACCATTTAGATGATTTTTCTCTTCATTTAATACGCTGGTAAATGATGGTTGAGACACAGCTTCCATTTTTGTTTTTTCCATAGATCTGGGAAGGATTTGAACCCCTGCCTGTTTTTTACTGTAAGAACCCTGTGCTAAGCAGAGTTCCTATTCAAAATTTAGAACGGCTAGGCTGTAGTCAGCCTCGACCCAAATTGATAGTTTTGCTTTCTGCAGGTTTTCCTTAGGTTCAAGTTGTGGAGAGGTGCAGCATGGTGTGAGTAGAAAATACACTAAATTTACTAAAGCTGGAGCACTGAAATCTGATGCAGCTGTGCATGGTAGCCAATCAGCTTCTAACTAACCTCAGCTTGTTCAATGAAGCGTTGGTAGTAAAACCTAAAAGCTGACTGGTTTCAATGCAGAGTTGCACCAGATTTTTCACTTTCCAGTTTTACTAAATAACCCCCACTGGATGCAGTAAACTTGCTACTTGTATTGAATAGAATGCCAACTTTACAAACACCCTGGTGCAGGGGCAGACTGACAACTCATGGGGCCCTCGGGCAATAGGGGATCATGGGGCCCCTGTGTCCTTGCCCAAACTCAAAAAAGCCTATGAAAAAGGTACCAGGGGCATCTCATGGGGCCCCCCACTGACCCTGGGCCCTTGGGCAGTGCCCGAGTTTCCAAATGGTCAGTCCGCCCCTGCCCTGGTGGGAGAGCTCCAAAAGGAAGATAACTCACAGTTCAATGCAGTCATATGTAAAGGAGGAGGGGTGTCGACAGTGTCTGTTTCAGCGAGTGAAGTGCAGCCTGGCCGCTCTGGTCCCAAGAAGGGAGGCTTCTTCCTAAGATAGCAAATCCCTAGTCTGTCCCTTCTCATCTGGAACCTTCCCCTACTGCTAGTCACTTTCCCTAACAAGCAGGGTCTTTCTCCCTACACTAGCCACTTGCAAACTGTGCTGAAAAAACCCAGGGGCAGGGACTTAAATAGACCATGCTGACCCAATATGGCTGCCAAGAATCACATGGCCGCAGCATAGCCAACTGAAACACTGCTCCTTTGACCCCGGAAACCATAAAGAAACAGCATTTCCCTTAGACTTCCTCTCCACTTGGATTGAGTGCCAACTACAGTGGAGAAAACAAACTGCACCTGCCTACAAGGTTACTGTTTGCTTCTGCCTGCTATTGGGACCTGTCCCTGGCAACACTAGTTAAGGCTCCAATAGCCTAGGTTAAGATCATTTTTACGGGCAGCACAGTAGCTAAACAGTTAGCACTTCCACCTGGCAGTACTAGGGTTGTTGGTTTGAATCTCAACCACAGCGCCACCTGCCTGGAGTTTGAATGTTCTCACTGTGCCTGTGTGGGTTTCCTCCCACACTCCAAAGACATGCTGGTAGGTGAATTGGATCCTGTCTAAATTGGCCCTAGTATGTGTATGTATGAATGTGAGTTAGAGACCTTAGATTGTACGCCCCTTGAGGGTTAGGGACTGATGTGAATGTACAATATATATGTAAAGTGCTGCGTAAATTGACGGTGCTATATAAGTACCTGAAATAAACAAAAATAAAAAATCTCCCCTAATGTTTTTTTTAAAATTGAAGAAGAGCCCTAAAAGCAGGGACATCTGGTCACCCACATTCTAGAGGGAGTGGGGGTTAAGCTGGCCATACATGGGTTGAAATTTCGACCGATTTTTCGTCCGGAAAGTGGACCTAAGAATAATCGGCTGATTTTCGCTCTGTTAGTGGGTCAATGGCACCGGCCGGTATTTCATGGTTCCTCCCCTTTTTGGTGATCGGGCATGTTGGAAAATTTGTGAAAATGGTCAAATCGTACAATCGTTTTTTTCCGAAAAGAATATGCACATAATATGACCTGGAAAGAACAGAAGTTTCGCCTGTTATATGGGGTGAACTTTATGACTTGGTCGGCCGATTTTCGAAATCATTGATGGCACCATCGGATTACCGAGCGAACGACCTTTTCGATTTTCAGACGAAAAATCGTTTGGAATTCGACCCATGTATGGCCTGTATTAGGTCCAGGGATTCTTGGCATACAGTTTTGTAGGCATGGATTGAAGGTCATTCTGAACATTGATGTTACAACATTGGCTGTCTTGCAAAGGAAACCACAGTATATTTTGTCTGAGACATTATCATGAAATAAAAGGAGAACCAATTGTAAAATCCTTCCTGCAGCTTTGTGAATTGTGTTTTGTTTGAGATAACGGCTCTTTATTTTACTATTGACCTATAACCCATCTGTCCCGGTTACAGCATATTAGAATACAATTATGCTGCGCTGTCAGCTGCCACTACCATTTTACTTCATTGTAAACAATCTTATCAAGGGACGACATGAGCCACGGCGATCAATAAATATTCTCTGAGGGTGAAGCAGTGTAGTGACATCAGGTATACAGCAAATATATTACAGGGCTACTTCCGGAACTGGATGCTCCTATTATACTCTTTATCAGTGAAGCTAGACATACACAAGGCTACAAATCTGTTGGTTTTCAAAACGTTTGTTCGATTTTCTAGTGGTTATTGAGGACAAATCAACATTCAACTTCGAATTTGTTTTCTCATTTCTTATCTGAATTAATAACATTCTGTTAGTGTGATCCTCAGCTGGGAAGAATTGTACTTATTTCAAAGGGCATGCGCTAAGAACAGTTTCATCCAGAATTAAATAGTTTGTGATCACGAACATTTGTTCTTTTAAATGATTATGTACAATATAGAAATGCTTTAAAGAACAACACAGACAACAGTGTATGCAAAATCAGATATATTTGATTCTAATATATATATATATATATATAGTGGTTAGCACTTCTGCCTTGCAGTAATTGAGTCATGGGTTCACTTCCCAACCATGGTGCCACCTGCATGGAGTTTGCATGTTCTCCCTGTGTTCACATGGGTTTCCTCCCAGACATGCTGGTAGGTTAATTGGCTCCTGTCTAAATTGTCCTAGTTTCATCCCTGGCCACGTGTGATCTCCTGCATGGTAGGGGTTGGGGAAAGACCTGGCAACCTACCCTGTAATATAATTGCTAAGAGAATTCATGGAAAAAGTCACTTACGAGTGACGGTCCATGCAATCGCCAAGGGTCAGATACGACTGAATAGATATATAGATATATATATATATATATGCACAAGGTGGTATCAAAAGGTTTGAAGCAGGGGCGGACTGACCATTTGGAGTTTGGGCAAGGACACAGGGGCCCCATGATCCCCTATTGCCCGGGGGGGGCCCCATGAGTTGTCAGTCCACCCCTGGTTTGAAGACTAGTTTTGTAACACGCCAACAGATGGCAGCACAAGACTGCATGCACAGTCACAGGGAGCACGACCTTCATAAGAGAGCGTGCCAAAAGACATCATCTTAGATTGTAAGCTCCAAGGAGCAGTGTTCTGTCTCTCCAATCTAAGCATTGAAAGAGTGATCTCTGTAACTTACAGTTGTGATGAGATAGCGATAACTCCAATCTTAGTTGAATAATACAGGCAGTGGTTCGATCAGATGACACCTTGTAGATCTTGTGAAGTTTATTCCATAAACTGAGAGAATCTTACAACAATGAACATCTGATAGGTCAAAAGATCATAATGTGATCTGCTTCATGACATGAGGGTTGAAGCTGAAATTCCTTTCTGGGAAAAGGGGTGGGGCTATCTATACAGCATGAACTAAACCAGAGGAAAGGGAGGAGCAGAGACAAAATATAAGAACACTTAAAGGCCTATGACACTCATGTGAAACATGACAAGCAGGGCCCTCCTAACCAGGGGCGGACTGACAACTCATGGGGCTCCCGGGCAATAGGGGATCATGGGGCCCCTGTGTCCTTGCCCAAACTCAAAAAAGCCTATGAAAAAGGTACCAGGGGTATCTCATGGGGCCCCCTACTGATCCCGGGCCCTCGGGCAGTGCCCGAGTTTCCAAATGGTCAGTCCGCCCCTGCTCCTAACCCTCTTGCATTGAACTGTATTGTTGCTGTATTGTCTCCCGTTACATTGTAAAGCGGTGAGCAAACTGTTGGTGCTATATAAATCCTGTATAATAATAATAATCATGTGTATATCGGGAGCTGTGCAACTGTTGCTATTCTGACCATGTGTGTTACCATGTCTGCTATTTCTTCATGGACAGCAAGTTAGGACAAAGAGAAAACGTGAAATTCTGCGTGAAACTGGGCAAATCTGCCACAGAGATATTTGATGTGATTTGGCAAGTTTATGGGGATGCTCCAATGAGTCGTTTGAGGCATTTTGAGTGGCATGCACGCTTTAAGAGAGGAAGAATATCACTAGAAGACGACGAGCGATCAGGAAGACCTTTAACGAGCTTAACCACCGGAAATGCCCTCTTCCCAAAGATGAAGATCCAGCTCAAAGGTCACCATTTTGACAGCATGGAGGAGATCCAGTGATTTGCCCAGTTTCACATTTGCGCTTTGTTCTAGTTTGCTGTCCATAATGACATATCAGATGTGGTAATGGTCAGTATAGCACCAGTTGCACAGCTCTCAATTTTCACAGGATGATGTCTTTTGGCACACTGAATGAAGGTCAGTGCTCCCTGTAACTGTGTGTGGAGCCTTGTGCTGCCATCTGTTGGACTGTTACAAAACTAGTCTCAAAACCTTTTGATACCACCTTGTGTGTGTGTGTGTATATGTCTATATATATATACTGTATATAAGAAACTAATATATCCAATTTTGCTTACACTGTTGTCTGTGTTGTTCTTTAAAGCATTTCTATATTGTACATAATCATTTAAAAGAACAAATGTTCGTGACAACGAACGTTCTAATTCTGGTAACGCATGTGGTCAGAATAGCACTAGTTGCACAGTTCCCGGTGTACACAGGATGATGTCCCTAGGATTACTTATGTGTGAAAATCCCAGTAGATCTGTAGTTTTTGAAATACTCAGACCAGCTCGTCTGGGAACAACAACCATGCTACATTCAAAGTCACTTAAATCCCCTTTCTTCCCCATTCTGATGTTCGGTTTGAACTTCAGCAAGTCGTCTTCACCACGTCTAGATGCCTAAATGCATTGAGTTGCTGCCATGTGATTGGCTGATTAGCAATTTGTGTTACTAAACAATTGAACAGGAGGACCTAATAAAGTGGCCAGTGTGGGCTGATGAACACATAATGTATAACACCAGAGATTGCTGATCCTAGGAATTTCTGGGTGCCTCCTGGGGGATCAGGAAGGATCTTTTTACCCACTGGAGTAAATTATATTATTGATTATTGCTTGTTTTTCCTTCCTCTGGATCAACTGCGAGTATAGGATTCTCTGTATTGATATTTTCTATTTCTTTATTTTTTTCTATTGGTTGAATTAAATGTATTTTTTCAAGCTATGTTCTGTAACTACAATATGTGTATATATAAAAAAAATATATCTAAATAAGCAATATACCTATCAATTTAAAAAAACGTTGCTTTGTATTATTCTTTCATTGATGTTATAATCAATGAAAGAAACCTGTTTAATGGTCTAGGAATCCATTCAAGTAGTAGGTCTGGATGAAATATTGAGAGCCTTTGAAGTAAATTAGTTGACTCAACAACAGCATCATCGAATGCTCTGATGAATGATTTTCATACGAACACTCAAACAAAAATCTTTGTATGGCCAGCTTTAGAGTTTACATAAAGTATAACTAAAGCAGGGGCGGACTGACCATTTGGAAACTCGGGCACTTTCCGAGGGCCCGGGGTCAGTAGGGGGCCCCATGAGATGTCCCCTAACCTTTATCATAGGCTTTTTTGAGTTTGGGCAAGGACACAGGGGCCCCATCAAACTCCAGGCAGGTGGTGCCGTCGTTGGCATTCAAACCAATGTCCCTAGTACTGCCAGGTGGAAGTGCTAACCATTTAGCTACCGTGCTGCCCATAAAAATGATCTTAACCCAGGCTATTGGAGCCTTAACTAGTATTGCCAGGTACAGGTCCCAATAGCAGGCAGAAGCAAACAGTACCCTTGTAGGCAGGTGCAGTCTGTTTTCTCCACTGTAAGTGGCGCTCAATCCAAGTGGCACCAAAACCTGGAGAAGAAGTCTTAGGGAAACACTGTTTCTTTATGGTTTCCAAGGTCAAAGGAGCAGTGTTTCAGTTGGCTATGCTGTGGCCATGTGCCTCTTGGCAGCCATATTGGGTCAGCAGGGTCTATTTAAGTCCCTACCCCTGGGTTTTTCAGCACATTTTTCAAGTGGCTAGTGTAGGGAGAAAGACCCTGCTTGTTAGGGAAAGTAAGTAGCAGTAGGGGAAGGTTCCAGATGAGAAGGGACAGGCTAGGGATTTGCTATCTTGGGAAGAAGCCTCCCTTCTTGGGACCAGAGCGGCCAGGCTGCACTTCACTCGCTGAAACAGACACTGTCGACACCCCTCCTCCTTTACATCTGACTGCATTGAACTGTGAGTCATCTTCCTTGTGGAGCTCTCCCACCAGGGCATGGGCGGACTGACCATTTGGAAACTCAGGCACTACCCAAGGGCCCGGGATCAGTAGGGGGCCCCATGAGATGCCCCTGGTACCTTTTTCATAGGCTTTTTTGAGTTTGGGCAAGGACGCAGGGGCCCCATGATCCCCTATTGCCCGGGGGCCCCATGAGTTGTCAGTCCACCCCTGAACTAAAGGCAAGACTTTTTTTTTTTTAGTTTTGGATGGAGTGGAGAGGGATTAGAACCTCTGTCAGGTTTTATTGCTATCTGTGCCCTGTTAAGAAGATTCCTCCTCTGTATTTGTCCTGTTTTCCATTATCACTGAATGCGAAAGCATAAGAAAAGCCAAAATTTCCCCAGAAAAGTAATAGAGAGGAAATCTTCCAATGAGATTAGTTCTGGTGATCTGGAGGTCCCCAAGGAATTCCCTTATTTTGTAAGGATTTCCTCTTACATCCTGTTTTGCGATGGGACAGAAAGTGAAGGGAAATCTCTGCAATGGGACACAGATGGCAAAAGAAAATCTGACAGGGGTTATAACCCTCTCTTACTCTATCCAAAATGAAAACAAGTTTTGCCTATAGTTCTACTTTAATTTTCCCCTTTATGTAAAGTTAAAGAGTAAGTAAACCCAACATTTCCTATTCCTGATCTGTGTCTGCTGTACCATGTACTTGCATGAAAAGGTATCCTGTTCTCTTTGTATTGCTTCCTTTGTGTGAAATCCCTGGTGTTCCTGCCCATGCCTGTGAGGCCCTATTAAAAACTGACTACACTAGGCATGAGATCACAGCGTGGTCAGTTATCTAGCTGTGCTGGGAACTCAGTGTGCTCTCCTCCAATGATGAGACTTGTCCTGACACGCCCCCAAATATCCACAGTCATTCAGTGGGAAAACCAGTGTACTACTGTTTCTCTTCCCTCAGCTCTTATGCAGCTGAGAACAGAGGGTATGTCATCACTTATAAAAAAGAGAAAAACAAATATTTTGAATGTTTTTTTTTATATCTATACACAAATGTTTTGCCTTTCATTCCTATTTTAAGCTGAATGGATTGTTTTGCAAAGTGAAGGTTCACATATACTTTAAAGAGGGCATTGAGGAGTTATGTTTACCACAATTAACCCTGTCTGTACTGTGTTGTCAAATCTCATCTTCGGTTGTAAACTAGATGTGCACACTGTCTGTTCTAAGGGTTAACAATCTCAGGCTTGGGTGGTATATTGTCTGATATTGCACTTTTTTTTAATTGCCCTTAATCAGGCCCTATACTTTACTGTACAGCAAGCTATTCTGAACAATACAGACTGCCTACAGAGTCTAGGAGGGAAAAGGAAAGGCAAGGCAAGGAAAGGGGAAAGGAAAGGCAAGGCAAGGAAAGGGGAAGGAAAGGCAAGGCAAGGCAAGTAACGGGGAAAGGAAAGGCAGGGAAAGGAAAGGAAGGCAAAGGAAAGGAAAGGGGAAAGGAAAGGCAAGGGGAAAAAAGAAAGGTAAAGCAAGGAAAAGAGGAGAAAGAAAGGTAAAGCAAGGAAAGCAAAGGAAAGGAAAGGCAAGGGGAAAGAAAGGAAAGGTAAAGCAAGGAAAGGAAAGGGGAAAGGAAAGGAAATGGAAAGGAAAGGAAATGGGAAAGGAAAGGAAATGGGAAAGGAAAGGAAAGGGAAAGGAAAGGAAAGGGGAAAGGAAAGGGGAAAGGAAAGGCAAGGCAAGGAAAGGCAAGGGGGGAAAAGGCAAGGCAAGGAAAGGCAAGGGGAAAGAAAAGGAAAGGTAAAGCAAGGAAAGGCAAGGGGAAAGAAAAGGAAAGGTAAAGCAAGGAAAGAAAAGGGAAAGGGGAAAGGAAAGGAAATTGAAGGGGAAAGAAAAGGAAAGGCAAAGCAAGGAAAAGGCAAGGGGAAAGGAAAGGAACGGAAAGGAAAGGAACAGAAAGGAAAGGAAAGGAAAGGGAAAAGGAAAGGAAAGGTGAAAGGAAAGGAAAGGGGAAAGGCAAGGGGAAAGGAAAGGGAAAGACAAGGGGAAAGGGGAAAGGAAAGAAAAGGAAAGGAAAAGACAAAGCAAGAGGAAAGGGAAAGGAAAGGAAAGGAAAGGAAAAGCAAGAAAAGGAAAGGAAAAGACAAGAAAGGAAAGGCAAGGTAATTTTGAGCCAGATCTTCTCATCCAACATCACAAATACTCTTTTGGATGAATGAACACAAATTCCCACATTCATACTCCACGGTATTGTGAAAAGCCTTCACAGAAGAGTAGTGGATGCTATATCCCAAGAAAGGAAGGGGGCATAATAACTGCCATTGTTTTGTCATTGGGTGTCCAACAAGTTCATATAGGCATGATAGTCAGGTGTTCAAAACATTTCAGACAATTAATGTGATAGATATTAATAGTGATAGATAGATAGATAGATAGATAGATAGATAGATATGAGATAGATAGATGGATAGATAGATAGATAGATAGATAGATAGATAGATAGATAGATAGATATAGATAGATAGATGATAGATAGATAGATAGATAGATAGATAGATAGATAGATAGATAATAAATAGAGTATATTTCCCTAAGTTACCAACATGTGTTGCTCCAGCCTTCATAGAGCGGTCCAGTTGCACAGTGAGGAAGGCGGACATTGTAATCTCATCTTTGCTGGCCTTGTTTCCTTGCCTGTGCAGAGAAATAGTAAGATCACTTAACATGTATCATATATTTCTGGTGATATGTTGATATATTTTGGGGAATGATAATCTACCTGTAAAGCAATAAAGGAGGCCCACGTAGGAAAAAATTACAAGGGCTCCTATTTCTGGCCTCCTTCAAAAATACCAGTTGCCTGGCTGTTTCCAGCTTCCAGATCCACTGATCTGGAACAAGCATGCAGCCAGTGAATTATGAACCTGTGATCTGTATGCTCTTACAGGCCAAAGCCAGTAGATTAGTGTGACAGCCAGGAAACAAGCATTTTGGAAGGCAAGATCAGCAATGGCAGCATTTATATTTTTCTCATGGCATGTTTAACACCACAACATCGTCAAGTCTATGAGAATAGATAGGAATATTCCATTATAACTGGAGCCTAAGAATTCTTACAGTATGAGCTGATTCCACCAACTGTAGAAGCACTGTACAATCATATTTCAGCTAATTGTAGTCAGATCAATAAAAAGGCAATTTCTGATTGGATATAATGGTGAACTGAACATTATAGTTGTACTACGGGCTAAATAAAAGTGTTTGTTATTCCAATGTCTATTGAGTGTTTATTAGATTTCTTAGATCTTTTTTAAAAGAGAAGTATGCCTGACTAGTTTGAGGGGACTGGAATTTTTTTAGTTTCAGGAATGAAATCCAACTCATCGCAAAGATCTGGGATACATGAGGGCTCTCAAGTGTGACCTCTAGTGGATAAATGAAATACTGCACTTTCTGCTAGACACCCATTAGTAGTAGAACCAGTCAAAAAGTTAAAAACTAAGAGGTGCAGTTTTTTTTTTTTTTTGGGGGGGGGGGGGGGGTTCATAAGAAACATGCAAAGTCTCTTCTGACGAAAAAAGAAAAAAAATTTCTTCCTCCCAGCAGTATTTTACTTTGTGGTACATACACAGTAAGCTATCAGATGCTGGGAATAGAGCCAGGTACCAGAGTGATGTAACTCTACATGTATACACAGGGACTACATCATTAGTGACTGCCTAAAGGCAAAGCATGTATACCAGTAGAAAATGTCAGTGGCAGTGTCAAAAGGTTTTATTCTGCCCACAGCTGATGGGCTGCCCCTCCCATCAACAGTAAGGGGGCCTCTGATGGAGTGTCTGATTTTTTTAGGAGGGACTCTGATGGGTACCCTGATTTTAGAGGGGACTCTAATAATAGGGGGAACTATGATTGGGTGTTTGATTTTAGGGGGTAATCTCGTCGGTATCCTGATTTTAGGGGGAACTCTACTGTAAGGGGGGCACTGATAGGGACCCTGATGTAAGGGGGGACGATGATGGGGTGTTTAATTTTAAGGGGTAATCTCATGGGTACCCTGATTTTAGGGGGGGGCTCTAATGTAAGGGGGGCACTGGTGGGGACCCTGATGTAAGGGGGACTCTGATGAGTAAGGGGTAAATTTAATTTATTTTTGTTTGACCTTTATTAATAGCTTAGCCTCCCCCCCCCCCCCCCCATCAACAGCTAATGTGCAAAGTCTCCAGTTTTGGTGGGGAGCATGATGTAAGGGAAGGACTCAGATGGGGACCCTGATGTATGGGGGGGGGGGACTCTGGTGGGGACCCTGATGTAAGGGGGGACTCAGTGGGAAGCCTGATGTAAGGGGAGGACTCTAGTGGGGATACTGATGTGAGGGGAGGACTCTGGTGGGGACCCTGATATAAGGAGGGACTGTGTTGGGGACCCTGATGTAAGGAAGGACTCTGGTGAAGACCCTTTTGTAAAGGGGAAACCCTGATGAAAGAGGGGACTCTGATGGGGACCCTAAAGTAAGGGGGGATTCTAATGAGAGGTACCAACGGAATTTATTTTTGTTCGACCTTTATTAATGGCTCAAGTTTATTTGCAATTGTTCATTCTCTATTAACCTGAATCATTTCATGTTTACAAAAAAATATGTATCCATTCATTTAAATTGTATTCATTAATTAGTAGCACCCTCCTAGTTAGCTAGGGGGAACTCTAGCTTATTTGTTAGTCAGGAGGGCTGAGTAGCAGCCTGGGTGCAATAGTTAGCAGGGGTCAAATTGTGGCTAGAGCTGAGAGGCTCTGCAGACCAGCCCTCTGGAATTTCCCCCTGTTCTAGAACTTTGGAGAAAGGTCTAGAAGCAGTGAGCGGATCTGAGGGAGTGTGGCTGGTCTGTACTCTGGAACCCTGGCCAATCCCCAACTGAAGGCTTGACAAGGGGTCAGGACAACCTTTAAGAATAACTGAGCCTGCCTAGAGCAGGAGAGTTCAGTTGGAAGAGAGAGAAGAATGTGAGGCTGGAGGCAAGAGCCTGTGAGGGGGCCCATAATAAGAGAGGGGCTCACCTACAGGCAGAGGATTTTGAAATGAGGAAAACTTGGGACTTCACTGCCCCCTGAGAGAGGACCACTTGTGCAGCAGGAAAGAAGCAGCCAGCTAGAAGGCCTGTAGCAGTCACCAACTCACCAGCCGCACAAGAGAAGGACTGAGTGAGAAGACCTGCACCCCCTGGGCCAGATAGGGGAAGGAGCACTCTGGTGGGAAACCAGACTAGCTACCACCAGGGACTGTCTTATTGTCTTAAAGTGACAGGCACTGGATCCTTTGCTCAGGATTCCTCCAGGCAGCCAGGCAGAGGAGAGTTCTGGGGCCTGGGGTGGTACACTAGGAGAGGCTGGCTATCTCTCCAGAAGAGGATATTTTGTTGTATATACTTGTAAATAGTTTCAGGAATTTTTTCCTCAGTTCCAGTTCCATTGGGCATCCTGTACACTCCTTAACCCATCCAAGTTTTATTCTCCTTTAATAAAACATCAAAACAAGCTCAAGGACTGTTTTTTTGTCTCCTGGATGCAAGTCTGAATGGAAAATGCGTGTTGCTCTGCTGTGTAGGACTATAGGGGGGGCCCGAATCTCTTGCAACTCCTAAAGAGGTAGTGGTACAACTCATTTTTATTTTTCATGAGAAGAAATCCATTACACACCTGAGGCATCACTGGTGTCTATTTCTGGCCCTTGAATATTTGTAAAATACATAATGTGGCCCTCTTACTGAATCGTATGCAGACTCCTGCTTTTCACTGCAGTTAACTGAAAACACCAGTGACATCTAGTGGGCAAATAAAATAATAATATCAGCAATATCAGCATTGAGAAGTTACAGTAAATCAAGCCCCTAGGCATGCAGACTGCTTCTACAAACATTGGTGAAAGAATGGGTCGCTCTCAGGAGCTCAGTGACTCCAAGCGTGGTCCCGTGATAGGTTGTCACCTGTGCAATAAGTCCATCTGTGACATTTCCTGGCTACTAAATATTCCACACTCAACTGTTAGTGGTATTATAACAAAGTGGAAGCAACTGGGAACAACAGCAACTCAGCCACCAAGTGGTAGGCCACATCACATGACAGAGCGGGGTCAGCGCATGCTGAAGCGCACAGTGCGCAGAAGTCACCAACTGTCTGCAGAGTCAATAGCTAAAGACCTCCAAACTTGGTGTGGCCTTCATATTACCACAACAACAGTGTGTAGAGAGCTTCATGGAATGGGTTTCCATGGCGGAGCAGCTGCATCCAAGTCTTACATCACCAAGTGCAATGCAAACCGGCGAAAGCACGCTGCCACTGGACTTTAGAGCAGAGGAGACGTGTTCTCTGGAGTGACCAATCACACTTCTCTGTCTGCCAATCCAATGGACGTGTCTGGGTTTGGTAGTTGCCAGGAGAACGGTACTTTCCTGTCTGCATTGTGTCAAGTGTAAAGTTTGGTGGAGGGGGGATTATGGTGTGGGGTTGTTTTTCAGGGGTTGGGCTTGGCCCCCTAGTTCCAGTTTAGGGAACTCTTAAGGCGTCAGCATCATACCAAGACATTATGGACAATTTCATGCTCCCAACTTTGTGGGAAGAGTTTGGGGATGGCCCCTTCCTGTTCCAACATGATGGCACACCAGTGCACAAAGCAAGGTCCATAAAGACGTGGAGGAGCCAGTTTGGGATGGAGGAACTTGACTGGCCTGCACAGAGTCCTGACCTCAACCCCATAGAACACCTTTGGGATGAATTAGAGCGGAGACTGTGAGCCAGGCCTCCTCCCCCAACATCAGTGCCTGACCTCACAAATGTGCTTCTGGAAGAATGGTCCAACCTTCCCATAGACACCCTCCTAAACCTTGTGGACGGCCTTCCCAGAAGAGTTGAAGCTGTTATAGCTGCAAAGGGCGGGGCCAACTCAATATTGAACCCTACAGACTAAGACTGGGGGGCCATTAAAGTCCATGTGCATGTAAAGGGCGGGGCCAACTCAATAATACCCTACGGACTAAGACTGGGGGGCCATTGTCCATGTGCAATATACTATTGGCAATATAGTAAGAGGCATAAGTAGAAGTAACAATATTAAAAAGGAACGGTATAACATTTAGTGATGAGTTTTATTAAGAAATTAAAGCAATTGTGACTTTTTAGAAGCATTCCTCCTCATCAGATTGAATGGATATAGCTTTGTTTTCTAATATATTTTTGTGTTTTATGGTGACATCGCTCGATTTTGCTTTAGAACTTGATTTATTATCGGTGTATTCCATTGATCTCATTTTGGAAGCTGTAATCATTGAACACTTTTTCTTTTCTCTTACCACGTATAAATGACGGTTCCTTTAGCTCCAGAGTACAAAATGATGTAGCAGTCTCTGCCAAAGAACTGTCCATAGGCCTCAGGCTCTACCGGGACTCTTCCGGTGTCTTCAACGCGCCAAATCTTCCAAAAGAACAAAGTATACTCTTAATAAAAAAAAATTTCATGAAGTCCGTATCTCCCATTCAGATGATTTGTGATTCCTAGCCTAGGACTGGACAGTGAAGGAGAAGCAGCACATGATAAACTCATCTCTCTGTCACTCTGCTCTCTCCTCCTATCAACATGCTTCTTGCCAGCATATGAACAGATTTTCTTGCAAAAGGTTGATACTCAGGACATTTTTCAGCGGAACAATGGGGGAAATGCAATTCCAGCACCTCCAGCACTGAATGTATGTACTGGCAAGGGGTGCTGGGGTGTGCGGAAGGGTCTACTGTTGCTTGAGACAGAATCTGTTGTTGCAGGAGGGGTCTATCATTGGTGGGTGATTCTACTTTTGATGATTGGGGGATCTAGTGTTGCTAGGGCCAATTGTTCCTGGGATGGATCTACTGTTGAGGGAGGGGTCTGTTTTTGCTGGTTGTTGGGGGGTCTATTGATGTTGGCTGCAGGGAATCTATTGTTGCTGGGGTGGTTTTATTGTTGCTTCCTCCTCAGCATGCTTCTTGCCAGCATATGAACTAATTAGCTCCTCATGCTGTTCTTCTATTAAAAGGCTGATACTCAGGACTTTTTTCAGCAAAAATGTGGGGGAATGCAGTTCCAGCACCTCCAGCACTGAATGTATGTATTGCCAAGAGGTGCTAGTGTGTGCTGGAGGGTGTGTTGTCACTGGCTGTTGGAGGATCTATTGTTGCTGTGGTGGATCTGTTGTTGCAGGAGGGTCTTCCATTGTTGGGGAAGTCTACCTCTGCTGATGGTGGATCTATTGTTGCGGGGGGGGGGGATCTACTGCTGAGGAAGGGGTCTATTATTGCTGGCTGCTGGAGGGTCCATTGATGCTGGCTGCTGGGAGATCTGTTGTTGTAGGCAGGGGTCTATTGTTGCTGGGGGTTGATCCATTATTGCTTTCTCCTCCTATCAGCATGCTTCTTGTCAGCACATGAACTGATTAGTTCCTTGTGCTGTTCCTCCCTCTCCCAGTCTTAGCCCTGCTGTACAGAGACTGCAATAGACTGATACTCAGGACATTTAGTGGGAATGTGGGGGAATGCAGTTCTGGCACATCCAGCACTGGTTTTTTTTATAGATTTTATTAGCTCTGCTTGTGTTTAAAAATTACATATAATGATGTATTAAAGTGTTACTAAACCCCGGATTCACCCTGCATTCACTATATCTGGTCTCCCAGGACCCTGCATTCACTATATCTGGTCCCCCAGACCCACTATATCTGGTCTCCCGGACCCTGCATTCACCCTATATCTGGTCTCCCATTCCCTATATCTGGTCTCCCGGACCCGCATTCACTATTCACTATATCTGGTCTCCCTGCGGACCCTGCATTCACTATATCTGGTCTCCCCGGACCCTGCATTCATTATATCTGGTCTCCCCGGACCCTGCATTGCCTATATCTGGTCTCCCCGGACCCTGCATTCACTATATCTGGTCTCCCTGGACCTTGCATTCACTATATCTGGTCTCCCCGGACCCTGCATTCACTATATCTGGTCTCCCCCGGACCCTGCATTCACTATATCTGGTCTCCCTGGACCCTGCATTCACTATATCTGGTCTCCCCGGACCCCCTGCATTCCCTATATCCACATCTGGTCTCCCCGGTCTCCCCGGACCCTGCATTCCCTATATCCACTCTCCCCGACCCTGCATTCACTATATCCACTCTCCCCCGGACCCTGCATTCACTATATCCACTCTCCCCGGACCCAGCATTCACTATATTTGCTCTCCCACAGTACACACAACATGGAAATGCAATTATTTTAGTAACTAAAAACTGCTAAATATTCCTTTTCTTACCAGCAGTATATAGCAGTCTAGTGACTTCTATATGTGCAGCACTGATTAAGCTAGTAGTAGAAGTTTTCATTCTCCTCTGACTGTCCTATGAGGCTGCATGACCCTCTGTCTAGACAGTGGTGATTGGCCCTGAGATGATCACATGCACCTTCCCAGAAAAAAAAAAAAACTCTCCAGCAATACACACCAAACTGAGCATGTACAGAGTGCCTCCTAAGTCTCTGTACTATCAGAAGATGGATTGGGGACAGTAGACAAAGGGGAGGACCAGAGAAGACATGATCAAACAGTATTTTTGACACAATGCAGAGGATTAACCCCTTAGGTTCCACAGTGAGTATAACAAGCATGCTTTCCTGCATATACAGACTGATTGTACTGTTGTGGGTTAATAAAACTTTAAGGATTACAGAGCTGTATTTATTTTTCTATTTTATTTCCTATAAAAAGCAAAAATTCAACAGCTTTTTTTTTCTGCAGATGCTGCCACCGTGTAACAGCAAGATTACCTCCACCTTTCCGGACCCATCGTCCAGCATGTTGTATTGTGCGGACATTTTCGGCGATTGGTGCAGAATTTTGGCATCAAATGGAGTTTGATTCACTTTTGCAATTCTTCCCGTGGTCACCACCTTCCCGAATCCCTGACTTTGCTCCTTGTCCTTCCAGTCCCTGAAGTATTGTTTGAACATCGGAGTCTCCCCTCCTCCGGTACAATGTCTGGACGATGAAGGTATGGAGAGATGAATGGGCGGCAGGGGCGTACTGAATTTGGAAACTCGAGAAATGAATGGGGGCCCGGGGTCAGTAGGGGGCCCCATGAGATGCCCCTGGTCTTCTTTTTTGAGTTTGGGAGAAGATAGTCACAACCCCATGATCCCTATTGCCCGGGGGCCCCATGAGTTGTCAGTCCGCCCCTGATGGGCAACTCGGTAAAGTCTTCTTAGAATAGAAGATATTCACAAATCTCATTCCATCACATATCCCAAAAATGAGAGGATTATTCCTCATTGTGGGGCAGTGGGCGGAGCCATGCATATTACTTCTTTACTCTCTATCAGCCAGATACATATCCAGAACCAAACAAAAAAGTGAAAGAAAGAAAAAAAAGTTATTATAAATATAAATAATAATAGTGTCTAAATCTAAACACAGCACAAAAAACTTAATACAAATATAAAAATAAAAAAAATTAAAAAATTATAAATTAAAATAAAATAATATTTATTTTTTTATTTTTATTTTTATTTCATTTAATTTAAAAAAATTTTTTATATTGTTTTAATTTGTATTTATTTATTTATATATTTTTTTTAAATTAAATTTTTATATTTGTATTACGTTTTTTGTGCTGTGTTTAGATTTAGACACTATTATTATTTATATTTATAATACTTTTTTTGCGCTTTTTTTTTTTTTCACTTTTCTGTTTGATTATTGATCAACATGGAACAGCAGCATTGGTTGGTGATTTAAATTTTGGCGCAAGTTTTGGTAGATTACATATCCAGAACCGTTGGTGTATACTACAAAATATAAATGGGTTCCAAAACGCATACAGCTGTGTCAGACTGATTGTCAATAATCAGTGCAGTATACGGAAACCATGACTTCTATGGAGGAGGATTGAAACCAGGGTGGATAAAAATCAATGATTTTTTTTAAAAAAAATCAAAAAAATCGGATTTTTTTTTATTTAAACCAGATTTTTTTGCTTTAAATTGGATTTTTTTTTATTTAAATCGGATTTTTTAAAATAAAATGCTTTTTGAGGAAAATATATTACCATCCAAAGGTTATTCCATCATGAAATAAAGATTAGTTTTTTAATTATGTAGAATAAGGCTGAATATGTTTAATTTTTTTGGTAAATAAATTCCATGAATCCATTCACAATGTCATGCTCTTCCAGCGGTTTTTGTAAGATTATTGGGCAGTTTCTCTGCCTACAAGATATTATCACAGATGATTGGTTTACTTTTGCAGTTCTCAAAACTGACTCAGCGGAGATCACATGCCTCTTCTTCACAGCAAAAATGTTATAACATGAACAGAGTTAAGAAAAAGACCTTCATCCTAACTTCTACAAACCTCTGAATACAGAATCAACCCCTTCACTGCTAAGTTTCAAGAAGTTCAGTGAATAGAATAGAAACAATATTTTTCTGATTGTTTGGAGTGGGATAGATCTGCACAAGAAGGGGGCAAAGTGAAACTAAGTGGAGGACAGTGTGAGGAGGGGCTGACAGTCTAAGTTTCTTAAAATATATATATTTTGTTTAGCCAAATTAGTTAACAAACATGGATGTTTAAGCAAATCACATATGCTGGAATGTTATTGTTTCAGTTGAATAAATCTATTTAAATTGTTATTATTAAGGTAATGATTATTTTTCTCCTTCCTACGTACAACAGAAAAGTTGTCCAAATATGAATGATTAACCTATTAAACTGGGGATAAAAAAAAAATATGAAAAGTTGTTATTCTAAAAATCTTCATCTACTTGCATATTAAAGTTATACCAGCAAGAATTGGTCTTTATGTAGAAAACTAAGATTTACATCAAGCCTTACTGACTAGTGATTTAAATCGTGATTTAAATCAGTTTGATTTAAATCAAATCCACCCCAATTGAAACCCAAAGAGACATAACAATCAAAGGTTATGCTGAGAAGGGGCTAAAAATGAATGCAAATTAAAGTGCTTTCTACAGCTTTTACTGCTTGATTTCTCCAGTCCTTGCCTACCGGGCACTTTTACCTCCTTCCTGTCCAGGACAGTTTTCAGCGCTGACGCACTTTGAATGACAATTGCGCGGTCATGCAACACTGCACCCATAAGACATTTTTAGAATTTTTTTCACACAACTAGAGCTTAGTGTTATTTAATTGCTACTGGATGTTTTTTTTTATTTTTTTGCTAAATAAATGAAAAAAGACTGAGAATTTTGAAAACAAAAAAAGTTTTTCTTTGTTTCTGTCACGGTCCCCCCTCGCTCTCCTTCATCCTCCCCCCTCCCTTTCCCTTACAGGTCCCTATGTCCAGCACGAGCCTACATCAAAGCCTGTACCAGACATCAGGAATCTGCCCCCTGTGGTGCGGTTAGCACCTCTCCTCTGCAATGGAGGAGTCTGACACCCAGCTGTACCTGCACGTGGATTCTTCACGTGCTGGCCACCGGGGTGTCTCTGCGCGCCACCCTTCCTTGTCCTGGCGGGGCGCAGCGTGGCCCGAGGTTTCCCGCGCTCTGCGCCTGCCAGAGGCAAAGGCTGCGCTCCCTGGGCGTGGCTGGAGTGTGGGGGCATGCCTCGTTGCCCTGCTAACCCGACACAGGGCCGGCCATTGCCGGGGCAACCAGGAAGCGTCCTTCTCTGGTAATAAGAAGATTGGAGTAGGACCTGGCTTCCCTGTTGTTCCCCTGCTCTGGAAGAAAAGCGCTGTGTGAGGTCTGAGCTGAGGCCAGACTCCACAGCCCAGACCCCCGCTGAGTGTCTGCTGATCGCTGGTTGTTCCTGGAAAGCTGACCCTGTCTGCTGATCGCTGTGTCCCTGGAAAGCTGATAATGTCTGCTGATCGCTGTGCCCCTAGATAGCTGAGTACCGTGAGGGTCCCTGTCTGCTGACCACTGTGTCCCTGGAAAGCTGAGTACTACTAGTGTCCCTGCCTGCTGACCGTTGTTGCCCCTGGAAAGCTGACCACCGTGAGGGTCCCTGTCTACTGGCTGCTGCCGCCCCTGAAATCGTGAGTGTTCCTGCACATGGTCCTCTGGTTGCCCCTGGAAACTACGTGCCGTGAGTGCCCCTACAAGCCGCATGTGGCGGAGTGTGGAACTGTCCTTATTGTGTGCCCCTTGCCCGGACTGCCTAAATGGGTGCCTATATCACCCCCATGCCCCCTGCCTGACTGCCCCCATTGAATGCCCATATTTCCCCTGCCTGGACTGCCATATTGAATCCCCATATTTCCCTTGCCTGGACTGACCCACTGTACGCCCATCTTCTCCCTTGCCTAACCTGCCCCATTGAATTCCTGGACTATTGCTTGGCTGAACTGCCCCTATTGTGTACCTGGATTAATACTTGCCTGGACTGCCCCTATTGTGTACCTGGATTAATACTTGCCTGGACTGCCCCATTGTGTACCTGGATTAATACTTGCCTGGACTGCCCCTATTGTGTACCCGGATTAATACTTGCCTGGACTGCCCCATTGTGTACCTGGATTAATACTTGCCTGGACTGCCCCATTGTGTACCTGGATTAATACTTGCCTGGACTGCCCCATTGTGTACCTGGATTAATACTTGCCTGGACTGCCCCCCCTATTGTGTACCTGGATTAATACTTGCCTGGACTGCCCCATTGTGTACCTGGATTAATACTTGCCTGGACTGCCCCATTGTGTACCTGGATTATTGTAGCTACCTGGACTGCCCCACTGAGTGCTCGGATCATTGCTACCTGAATCGCCCTACCACAGGCCGGATTATAACTGTTTGGACTCCTGACCTCTCTTCCCCTCTTTTTGGGTACCTGGACGCTACCCTAGTTACCCTGATTGAGTGTCTCTCCTATTTCAATAAAACTTTGTGTGTTTATCCTCCTTCGTGTGCGTTCTGTCCCGCCTACGCGTCCGTCACAGTTTCTATTATAAAATTTTGCAGACGGGTAATTCTTCTCCTTCACTAATGTGTGCTGATGAGGCGGCATTGATGGGCACTAATAGGCAGCACTGATGAGGCGGCACTGCTGGGCACAAATAGGCAGCACTGATGGCACTGATAGGTTGAACTAATGAGGAGGCACTGGTGGGCACAAATAGGCAGCACTGATGGGCACTGATAGGCAGCACTGATGAGGCGGCACTGGTGGGCACAAATAGGCAGCACTGATGGGCACTGATAGGTTGAACTAATGAGGCGGCACTCGTGGGCACAAATAGGCAGCACTGATGGGCACTGATAGGCAGCACTGATGAGGTGGCACTGGTGGGCACAAATAGGCAGCACTGATGGGCACTGATAGGTTGAACTAATGAGGCGGCACTGGTGGGCACAAATAGGCAGCACTGATGGGCACTGATAGGTTGTACTGATGAGGCGGCACTGGTGGGCACAAATAGGGAGCACTGATGGGCACTGATAGGTTGTACTGATGAGGCGGCACTGGTGGGCACAAATAGGCAGCATTGAAGGGCACTGATAGATGGCACTGACTGGCAGTACTAATGATCACTGTTGGGGCTGCAATTATAATCAGGGTGCTGATTATCAGTGTAGATGTCTCCTTTCACACTGTGACAGCATGAGTATAGTGCTGCCGATAACCAGCGAGTGTGTTTACATGGTGATCAGCTGTGATTGGACAAAGTTGATCACGTGGTAAATGGCCCTTTACCATGACATGTGATCTGTTGTGTCTGAAGGACATAGAAATCACAAAGAGCGCTGAGTGCGTGGTTCTGGAAGGATGTCATATGACACCCTCCCAGAACTGGACGACCTCGCTGTAGCCATCATTCAGTTATAGGACAGTCAGCAGGTGGTTAACAGCTTCCCATCCACCCTATAGCAGAAATACTGCTACAGGGGGGCACAGGTGCGCAAAATCATGTACCATGTGACAAGCTGTGACCAATCACAGCTCACACAGTAGTTCTCAATGGCTGGAAGAATGTAGCTAGAGAGAAGGAGAAATAATTGCTTTTACAGCCTTCATGGGTATAAAAGCAATCAGTGTAAAAATAAAAAAAAAAAAATATCTTCATCACCACCCACAAGTAGTAGTGTCGCCATGGTGACACTGTACTGCTAGGGTGATAGTATGTAAAAAAAAAACCCATAAATAATAATATAAAAAAATAAAAGAATATGTAAAAATATATGTTTAAAAATTATAATTTTTGGTTATAAACTAATTTGGGTTATTCTTTTTTTACTAAAAAGATAACAGAATAAATTTTGGCCAAGATTTATGATGAAATTCTAAAATTTTATAAGAAAAACACTTTTTTCAAAATTGTTTGGACATTTTCATTTATATAGCAAAAAAAATAAAAATCCCAGCGGTGAATAAATACCACCAAAATAAAGCTTTATCTGTCTCAAAAAAATGCTAAAACATTCATATGGGTACAGTGTTGCATGACTGCGCAATTGTCATTCAAAGTGTGATTGCACTGAAAGCTGAAAATTGGCCTGGGCAGGAAGGGGGTAAAAGTGTCCAGACTGGAAGTGAATGTCAGTTCACTGACTTTGTCTAGGCTGAGATGATGCCATCAGTCTGCTGCAGGTAGGCGGAAGCATTTCCTCAGTCTCCTCTCCCTCAGTGATGGGATTTTATATTGTATCTTTGTATCTAGTCACATGGTTAAGAGGCTGCAGCAGGGGCCGATTAGTGTCAAACATTTGTGAGCAAAACTGCACAGGCACCAAGATTTACATCAACCTTGTCAGCATCAACCTTGGATGATGCCTGAACAAAGCTGGTGCCATCACTCTGGAGAGAAAAACAAAGGCGCTATAAGGGGGATAACCGGGATACCGGTAAGTGATCATAAACATTTGGAAGTGCCAAGTTGGCACATTGCTTAGTATGTCTGGACTGAACATGAAATAAATTATCAGATGACAGGTCCACTTTAAACTGGTTGTAAACCTCAGACATGAAATAGTGTGTAATTGTCTAAATCCAGAGCACTAAGTGTCATTTCTGTCTGCTGCCTTGCTCCTCTGTTATCAGCATGAATCACTTTTGACACGTTTTCCTGACACCAAGAAAAAAAAGTTGACGGGAGGGATATCCAGCACACAGCCTGTGATTGACAGCCTCAACTTTGTTCCTGTGTTCTGTTTGAAAGGGGTGTGTCCCTTCCCTCCAATCAGCTCTCAGAGCTCTTGTACAGTGTGTAACTGCAGCTCCCCACCCCCTTCTTTTCATCTCTGAGTTTTGCCAGGATGTGCAGGACAAATGGCTGCAGATAAACAGGTTCAACGTATATAGGAGGACATGTTTAGTCTCTGTGTATCACCTGAGGCCAGTCATTTCACTGCTTCTAGAGCCATTTGAACATTGGGGAGGTCCCATCAGGAGGTCACATGTCCAACTTACTTCCAATGACTATGGCCACCCTCACAGACACTTACCTGCGTATTGGCGGAATAATTCATCTGCTTGATAAAACTTTCAGCCGTCTTCAGTGCCGTCTTCTTCTCCTCCTTATTGGACTGTTTGCCTGAAATGTTCAAGCCGTATATTAGACATCATTTACATTTTTTAGGATGAATATCATTTTCCCAAAAAAATTTACAACTTGGCTTCTGCAATAGAAACATTGATACCTACCTCTCTGTGGGGAAGTGAGAGGTAGGTATTCCACTGTCCTCCAGCAAAGTTTTCAGTATCTGGAATTTCTGGGAGTGTCAAATGCCTGCTCCCCCCCACCATGCAATGTGGTTCCTTCCACTTCATAATGAAGTAGGGGATGGCAGGAGAAACCACTGAGTGAAGCAGGGGGTCACAGGCATTTGCCTCTCTTGGATGTGCAGAACGCTATGAATGCTAAAGGCTTTACTGGAAGACTTATGCAGGCCATACATGGTTCGAAATCTGACCGATTTTTCGTCCGAAAATCGGAAACGTTGTTCACTTGGTAATCCGATGGCGCCATCATTGATTTCGAAAATAGGCCGACCAAGTCTTAAAGTTCACCCCATATAACAAGCAAAACTTCTGTTCCTTCCAGGTCACGGCTCATGTGCATAGTCTTTTCGGAAAAACGATTGTACGATTTAACCATCATTGAGTCGAAAATCGGTAGTTTTTCATGAATTTTCCAACATGCCCGATCACCGAAAAGGAGAGGAACCACGAAAATTGGCCGGTGCCATTGACCCACTAACAGAGTGAAAATCGTCCGATTATTCTTAGGTCCGATTTTCGGATGATAAATAGGTCGATTTTCTACCCATGTATTGGAGGCTTTACTTTTGATTTTTTTTTTTTCGAAAGCAACAAATTTTGTTTAAAATTTTTTTTTCTTTTTTTTACCTAATATACCTGCAATTAAAGTGTAGCAAAATAATATTTTTTTCATTTTTAATTTTCTAAATCTTTAAATTCTGTTTTGATCTTTTAATTTTTTTTTTTTTACTAATGTGGGTATATAGGCTCTGTTCACAAAGCTTTTGGATATATATACATTCAGACAGTAAAATCCAGATCCATCCAACCAAAACTGAGATGTCACTGTTGGCTGAAGTGGAGGATGTGGTGGTCTTCTCTCAGGACTGTTTGTAACTGATGAGGGTCCCTCTTCCCTTCCCCCTGTGGGATCAGGAGAGTGAGGATCAGGATGGCAATGTAAAGTAACAGGGAGGAGAGAAGTGATAGAAGAGAGTGGGAAAGAAGGATCATCATGAGGTGGAGGATGGGGATGACAGCAAGGAAGATAATAGAAGAAGAGTAAGAAAGCAATGCCGAGGATGATAATAATGGATGGAGATGACAGGTCTCTCAGAAGCCCTGGTGACTCACTTGGAGGACCCAGTGAAATTTGGAGACATGCTTACGGTGTTGCCAGGTTGGCTTATAGGTTCTGACTCTGTAAAGTTGGATATTGATCTGGAGAGTCCATAAGTCATTTTCATGGTAAGTGGCTGGTGCCCAATAGTCCTTCTCAGTCCCTCACTTTAGTCATGGACTCAGCCTTGGGGTAAAATAATAGCCCACCCAGCATCTGGAGGTGCCATCCTGCCTGGAGTGTTAAGGAAGGTCTCCAGAAATCTCAGTTTTAGGGGAATAGATCCTTTAGAAGAGCAGAAAAAGCTGCTTGGATTCACCATCACCAAAGCTCCTCCGCTCTTCTCCACCTTCAGAAACCTATTGCTTTCCAATGTGTCTCCAAGTCTGGATTGCCATTGTATTATGAGTGAGCATTCTTACAACATAGCAATCGGCCAGTGAGATCGTCAGTGGCACCATCACAAACATCAAGACAAGTCCAGATCACCAGCACCCCAGACAATTGGATTCCTGTCAGGTTTGTACCTCAGAAAAAAGGAGCCACTTAGGCCCTGAACAGGGGTGGACTGACCATTTGGAAACTCGGGCACTGCCCGAGGGCTCGGGGTCAGTAGGGGGCCGCATGAGATGCCCCTGGTACCTTTTTCATAGGCTTTTTTGAGTTTGGGCAAAGACACAGGGGCCCCATGATCCCCTATTGCCCGGGAGCCCCATGAGTTGTCAGTCCGCCCCTGGCCCTGAATGACTGATGGCAATTCTATTGCCTTTGTTTGTTATCAGAGTGTTGGGGATCTGAAGTTTTCTTGATCATACAATGGAAGCCAAGGAAACTTTCCACGAGCAATACCAGGGTGCCTTAGAACAGCTCAGTTTATTGACAGTTCCAGTTGGGAACCCAGGTTTGGCCATCTCTGTCATAGTCACCTTTCCAGACGAAGATCTTATCTCCAGCATCGAGAATGAAGCATTCCTCTGGCAGGAGCATGGACATGGAGAAAGGACTCTCTTCTGAAGCCACTGTGATCTTCATGGAACCACTTGCATCAGAAACCTGAGAAAGTGAGATACAAATGCTGGTTGAAGGCTGTGATTTACAATGGGATCATGGCACTGAGTGTAGCATTTAAAGCTGAACTTGAGTTTTTCTCCTGCCCCTGTCCACAGTCTCTCCCCCCTCCTTTATATATACCTCCCAACTTTGAGATGAGTGATGCTTTTTAGCACTAAGTATACAGTATAGACAAAGGTGACACACCACCATTCACCATGAAGAATAGGCAAAAAGTAATTGGTTAAACCCATATTTGTGTGATTGGGGGGGGGGGGATTTGAGAGGTAGGTGATGGGATGATGCAAATCCCCCTTTGAGTACTTTGATCACTTGCTGGTGGCATTGTGGTTCCCTTGGTGGAGGGTTGTAGTTCCAGTGTCCACCAGCAGGTGTCTTTCAGCAAACAGCAGTTTCCGCCTGATGCTGGCTGCTGGGTGTGCATTTAGGTCCTCCCGTATTAGCCCCCCTCACTCCAGTGTTTTGCTTGCTGCCAGATACTGCTAGCCATGATCCTGTTCCTGCTCTTTCCCTGTTTGCTGTACCCTGTATCCTGCTGCCTTGTACCTGCTCTCGCTTGTTCCTGATCCCAGTTTTGTTCCCCTTTCTCATCTGCTCCATGCATCTCCAGTTTTCCCCATTTTGTATATATTGTATATAGTTAGTTGTTAGTTAGGCTTTCTGTTTGTTAGTTATTCATCAGCTACTCTGTCACTGGGTTATTGGTTCACCTATTTTTACATTTCCTGCTGTTTGAATTGATTTTTTTCTACTGTTGTAGTGCAGAGCTGAACCTGGCCTGGCTGTTTGATCCCAGTTTCCATTCCCAGTGGCCAGGCAAACAGCATTTCCCAATCACTGGAGTCAGAGAACAGGCTGGATAGGGTGAGGATGAGCCTAGGGATACTCCAATGAACTTCAAACTGGTAGTAGAAGACTCTAATGCTGAACTAATACTTCAGGGTGAAAGCACCCCCTTTGTGAAGTGTAGACAAAGTGGTACTAAACAGGAACTCCTCAACAGTCCTGAGTGTACTGGTCATAATGTAAATCTCCCAAAAGAGAGCCAAAGAAAGTCTCAAAGGCTGGTACTCACTGTGTCCTGAATTCTGTATAGCAGCCTGCAGTATCTGTCAGTTTCTGTATTCTAACTGCCTTTGTCCTGGATCTTAGGAAGATTTCTGCAAATGCTTCCGGAGACTAGAACAGAGGTCCCCCAACCAAACAGTAGCCAGGACCCTGGAGAAGATTCTTGCAGCTGCAGGTGGGTCATGGTTCTCCCAGGGGTGCCTCAGCCCTGGGTCTTAATTTCCCAGGAACAAAGAGGCCTCTTCTCTGGTTTCAGCCTATTTATACCCCCCTCAGCCCCCTGCTGGTCACTCACCAAATTTACCAAGTATTGGCTGGAGAGGCATTCATACGCAGGTTGGAATCTGTGTTCTCCCACCCACTATGCCCCAGGTTCATGGGATATGGGGAGGGGGAGCAGCTGAGTTCATTCCAGGAAAGACCAGAGCAGACCTGACTAAACAATTGTTTCTCTCCCTAACTACAGGGAGGCCAAAAACTAAATTTTAACCAACTAGTAGCCTAATGGGGTGCTACACTGTATATCTTGCTTAGTACTGCTACAGGGCGGAAGGGCTGTGCAAAATCACACACACACACACATATATATATATATATATATATATATATATATACGTGATTTTGTATTTCCAGGTAGGGGGCGCTGCCCTATCTGCCATTGGCAGCTAGAGGTGTTGATCACCGGGTCCCGGGCGGATATTCCCCGCTGGCACCTGATGATCGCCGTAGAACACTGAAGGGGAGAGGTCTGTATGTAAACAGATCTCTCCTCTGCCAGCTCCAGCATGCTGTTTTGTTTTTGCTCTTTATAGCACAGCCATACCAAACAGCTTACACTGTAAAATACACACAGCCCCCATAGTAAAACAGCACACAGTTAACCCTTTGATTGCCCCAGATGTTAACCCCTTCCTGCCCAGTGTCATTAGTACAGTGTCAGTGCTTTTTATTAGCACTGATTACTGCATTAGTGTCACTAGGGATGTCAGTGGCAGTTAGTCAGTGTCAGAATGCCCACCGCAGTCCAGGAGTCGCTCAGTCCCGCTATAAGTCGCTGATCGCTGCCATTACTAGTATAGAAAAAAAATTTCAGAATATACTTACGCCATTTGTAAGCGCTATAACTTTCATGTAAACCAATTAATTTACACGTATTGGGATTTTTTTTTTAGCAAAGCCTTTTAACAAAATACATTTTGGCCTAACTTTATGACGAAATATGATTTTTAAAAATTTTTTTTTACTGGACATTTTTTATAGCAAAAAGGCAAAAATACTGTTTATTTTTCAAAATTGTTTTTTTTTTTTATTATAGCACAAAAAATAAAAAACACAGAGGTGATCAAATACCACCGAAAAAAGCTCTATTTGTGGGAAAAGCAGGACAAAAATTTCATTTGGGTGCAGTGTTGCATCACCGCGCAATTGTCAATTAAAGTAATGCAGTGCTGTACTGCAAAAATGGAAGGGGGGGGGGGGGGGGGTAAATCCCATGGAAGGCAAGTAGCATTCACAGTCTGGTCCCAGTTTCCTGAATGTAGCCACGCAGTTCTGGCCATCCCTGCTGCTGATTCCTGACACCCCCTTTCAACTCACCATGTGCAGTTTGGCTTTTTTCCTGTTGCTGACATCTGCCACATGATCCGTGTCGTCATCGCCTTCAGGAAGCTTGGGTTTTTCACCTAAAATCTGCATCATAAACAAGACATTGTAAACACATGAACTGATGAATGACAGACTTTTTTTTAGCTTTGGATACAGTAGGGAAGGGTTAAAAAACTCCTACCTGGTAATTTTTTTGCTATGTACCATTGTTCAAATTTCCTGTCCCAGTGATGCAACAAGAAGTGTTAGAAAATATCTCAAAGTTGGAGAAGAGCCCTCTGAGACCTTCATCCCCAGAACAAATACCCTTATTGAAAGGCTAGAGCTCATCAGTAAATTTAGGAAGGCTGAATCTCCACAAAGGAGGCTGAGACAGCAATAAAAAACATAAAGGTTTAGAAATCATAGAGACTCACTTTAATAGACACCACAAGAACATTCATTGCCACTGGGAGTCAGTTACAATTTATAATCCCAGACAAAAACATAAAGTAAAATTGGCAACACGCCATTACAACTATACAAATAAATGCAAAATATATATATATACATATATATATATATACACAGGTGAAACTCAAAAAATTAGTATATCGTGCAAAAGTTCATTTATTTCAGTAATTCAACTTAAAAGGTGAAACTAATATATGAGATAGACTCATTACATGCAAAGCAAGATAGTTCAAGCTGTGATTTGTCATCATTGTGATGATTATGGCTTACAGCTCATGAAAACCCCAAATCCACAATCTCAGAAAATTTGAATATTCCATGCAATCAATAAAACAAGGATTGTACATAGAACAATATCGGACCTCTGAAAAGTAGAAGCATGCATATGTACTCAGTACTTGGTTTGGGCCCCTTTTGCAGCAATTACTGCCTCAATGCGGCGTGGCATGGAAGATATCAGCCTGTGGCACTGCTGAGGTGTTATGGAAGACCAGGATGCTTCAATAGCGGCCTTCAGCTCTTCTGCATTGTTCAGTCTCATGTCTCTCATCTTTCTCTTGGCAATGCCCTATAGATTCTCTATGGGTTCAGGTCAGGCGAGTTTGCTGGCCAATCAAGCACAGTAATCCCACGGTCATTGAACCAGGTTTTGGTGCTTTTGGCTGTGTGGGAGGTGCCAAGTCCTGCTGGAAAATGAAGTCAGCATCCCCATAAAGCTCGTCTGCGGAAGGAAGCATAAAGTGCTCCAAAATCTCCTGGTAGATGGCTGCGTTGACCCTGGACTTAATGAAGCACAGTGGACCAACACCAGCAGATGACATGGCTCCCCAAATCAACACAGACTGTGGAAACTTCACACTGGACTTCAAGCATCTTGCAGTGTGTGCCTCTCCATTCTTCCTCCATACTCGGGGTCCTTGTGCCTCTCCATTCTTCCTCCATACTCGGGGTCCTTGTGCCTCTCCATTCTTCCTCCATACTCGGGGTCCTTGTGCCTCTCCATTCTTCCTCCATACTCGGGGTCCTTGGGCCTCTCCATTCTTCCTCCATACTCGGGTCCTTCGGCCTCTCCATTCTTCCTCCATACTCGGGGTCCTTGGTTTCCAAATGAGATGCAAAAGTTGCTCTCTTCAGAAAAGAAGACTTTGGACCACTGAGCAACAGACCAGCTCTGTTTTTCTTTAGCCCAGGTAAGACGCTTCAGATGTTGTTTGTTGTTCAGGAGCAGCTTGACAAGAGGAATACGACATTTGAAGCCCATGTCCAGGATCCGTCTGTGTGTGGTGGCTCTTGATGCACTGACTCCAGCCTCAGTCCACTCCTTGTGAAAGTCCCCAACACTTTTGAATGGCCTTTTCCTGACAATCCTCTCCAGGCTGCGGTCATCCCTGCTGCTTGTGCACCTTTTTCTTCCACACTTTTCCCTTCCACATAACTTTCTATTAATGTGCTTTGATACAGCACTTTGGGAACATCCAACTTCTTTTGCAATGACCTTTTGAGGTTTTCCCTCCTTATGGAGGGTGTCAATGATGGTTTTCTGCACAACTGTCAGGTCAGCAGTCTTTCCCATGATTGTGATTCCTACTGAACCAGACTGAGAGACCATTTAAAGGCTCAGGAACCCTTTGCAGGTGTTATGGCTTAATTAGCTGATTAGAGTGGGACACTTTGAGCCGAGAATATTCCACCTTTTCACAATATTCTCATTTTCTGAGATTGTGGATTTGGGGTTTTCATGAGCTGTAAGCCATAATCATCACAATGATGACAAATCACGGCTTGAACTATCTTGCTTTGCATGTAATGAGTCTATCTCATATATTAGTTTCACCTTTTAAGTTGCATTACTGAAATAAATGAACTTTTGCACGATATTCTAATTTTTTGAGTTTCACCTGTATACATATAAAACGGCATTATTAATCATTATCAACCATAAAAAGCCATAACAATCTCCCAAATAAATATTGCCTCTATTTAGAAGTCTTTGATGACCCATATACGGTATGTACACAGAATGGATATATATGTAGTAATTAAATCTCCCAGTGGGACCTGAGGGGTCCTCATCTTAGGTAGACTCAGTTCTATGAAATGATCCCACACATATTTATAATGCAGTGAATGTGATTTTCACCAAACATTCACTGGTGATGAATCAATAACAGTAATTTAAAACACTTGGCGTGAATGTTTGCTGAATGTTGGATTATTGCTATACTAGGGTCATTGGTTCGAATCCCAACCACTTCACTATCTGCTTGAAGTTTGCATGTGCTCCCTGTGCCTGCGTGGGGTTCCTCCAGGTACTCCGGTTTCCTCCTACAAAGACATGCTGGTAAGTTAATGAGCTCCAAGAAGCAGGGCCCTCCTAATCCTCTTGTATCGTTGCTGTATTGTCTCTCTTTATATTGTAAAGTGCTGAGCAAACTGTTGGCGCTATATAAATCCTGTATAATAATAATAATAATAATAATTGGCTCCTGTCTAAAATTGGCCCTGGTATATGTATGAATGTAAGTTAGGGACCTTAGATTGTAAGCTCCTTCAGGGTTGGGGACTGATGTGAATGTACAATGTATATGTAAAGCGCTGCGTAAATTGGCGGCGCTATATAAATACCTATAATAAATAAATAAATATAAATGTGCCCCATAATGTGCAATGTATAAAGCACTGTTGGCACTATTTATGAACCTTAAATAATATAAATATTATATTATATTATTATGTAACATAATATTCATATGAAATGTGATAGGAATGTATAGGTACACTACAGTATGTAGATAGATTGATGTACTAATTAGTTGTAGTCTAACAATAAAGTTATGTAATGACACATGTAACCACTAGATGGCCTCAGAACAGCATATTTTGTATTCTTTATACTTTTTATTGTAGTTGTGCTTCAGTCTGCTTATGCAGGCCATAGATGGGTCGAAAATCGGCCGATTTTTCGGCTGAAAATAAAATCGGCCGATTTTCGGATCGTTAGTGGGCTAATTGTTCGGCCGTTTTTTCGGTATTTTGGCATTTTTTTTAATCAGTAAAGTTGGAAAAAAATCTGCCGATTTTGCCGATCGGCCGATTTTCACGGCAATGATGGGCAAATCGGCCGATCTTTTTACCAATACAAAAATCTGCGCATGAGCAGTGACCTGCAAGAGGAAGACAAAAAGAAGAAGAAAAAGAAGAAGAGGATGAAGAAGAAGAAGAAGAGGAAGAGAAGAAGAAGAGGATGAAGAAAAAGAGGAAGAAGAGGATGAAGAGGATGAAGAAGAAGAAGAGGATGAAGAAGAGGAAGAAAAGAAGAGGATGAAGAAGAGGATGAAGAAGAAGAAGAAGAGGATGAAGAAGAAGAAGAGGATGAAGAAGAGGAAGAAGAAGAGGATGAAGAAGAGGATGAAGAAGAAGAAGAAGAGGATAAAAAGAAGAAGAAGAAGAGGATGAAGAAGAAGAAGAGGATGAAGAAGAGGAAGAAGAAGAAGAGGATGAAGAAAAGGAAGAGGATGAAGAAAGAAGAGGATGAAGAAGAGGATGAAGAAGAAGAAGAATTCCAGTTCGGCAAAAAGTGTCCCTGCAGAGAGCTCCGCTATTTCTTTGACAGTTCTTTGACATTTATAGCGGTTGCAACAATGTATCTATTTGTTTCTGAATAAAAACATCTGTATCCTAAATGGATACAAATAGATACATTGTTGCATCCGCTATAAATGTCAAAGAACTGTCAAAGAAATAGCGGAGCTCTCTGCAGGGACACTCTTTGCCGGCTGTAGACGGGATGAAAATCGGCCGATTATTTTTACCGTTGCTGGTAACGTCGGCCGCTTGAACAACCGATTTTTCATTTTTTTAAAGAAAAATCGGCCGTTTTTCTCTCCATCTATGGCCTGCATAAGTCGTATTCTGCCACTGATCCTTTATATGTATTTGCAAAACTTTGTCCTCTTTCACATTGACTTGGATGTCAAATAGATATTTGCTTAGATTACAAATACATGCATTTAATTTTATTTATGAGCCACAAAAAATTGACAACATTCTGAGCCTAGAAAGAGAAATGGTGGCCAATTTTAGACAACAGACCTGCCGTGGTCATATTTTCATCATTTTTAGAGAGAAGGTAAGAAAGGAAAAAAGATCGTACGTGTTCAAAGAATGATTTTTTTTACCTATATATCAATAGCTTCAGCTGTCAACAAAAAGAGATTGGAGTAAGAGCTGTGAGAATGTGGAATAGACTCCCTCAAGAGTTGGTTCTGGCCAGCTCAGTGGATTGCTTTAAAAAAAGTCCTGGATTCTTTCTTGGATACACAGAATGAAACTGGAAACTAACATTTATAGGTACAGTCGGGTGGACTGACAACTCATGGGGCCCCTGGGCAATAGGGGATTATGGGGCCCCTAAGTCCTTACCCACGCTCAAGCCACACCCAAAAAAGCCTATTAAAAGGTACCAAGGGTATCTATTGGGGCCCCCTACTGACCCCGGGCCCTCGGGCAGTGCCCGAGTTCCCAAATTGTCAGTCCGCCCCTGGGTACAGTTGATCAAGGGAATATCTGATTGCCTCTCGGGGGATCAAGAAGGAATTTTTTCCCTGCAGAAGCAAATTGGATCATGCTTT